CTGGTTCTCATGAGAGCACCTGGAGATTTGGTTTGGTACTCACACTGCACATAGCGTGACTCATAAAATATAACTATAAAAATAAAATTAATAGTGAAAGTAGTATAATTGCAATTTATTTATTTTGTATTTTAATAAATTGAACAAATCAGTGTGATACAATTACGTTTAAAAAATGGAGCATAAAATAGTTATTTTATAGTACACTTAAAAGTACAATGCTAACATTAACTTTTTTTTATTTTTATGAATTTATCATTTTCAAACCTAAAATCAGCAAGCTTTTATTTTGGCGGGGTGCCGGCAAGTAAGTGTATAAGCTGACGGGTTTAGCGCTGTCCCGCGTCAGTGAATGAAATGGCAGTTTTGCATTTTGCTTTCAACCGGCAGCGCATAGCCTAGATTGATGCTTTCAGTTTGAGTGGAAATCTTATACAGCATTACAGCCGATCTAAAACAGTGATTGTGCATTAACAGCGGTCAACAATGTCGGTACGCAAATGAGCGGTCTGGTCTGAACGCATCGCATTTTTTAATTTGGTCGCGCATGCGCAACAATTCTGCACACCCCTGCTTGTATCTGTAGTTTAGGGGAAGAGACCCAAAGGGCAGGGCTGGTCCCTTCCCCCACCCAACGGTACCACCCAGTTTTCGGTATTATTCAGTGACAAGAAAAGGCGCCATAACTGGAGACTTTTATGCTCGTCTTTGAAATTCTGACGCGTCTGCTCCTCCGCCCTGTCGCGCATCTAACAAAAACCTAAGCTACAGATTTAAAACTTTAATGTCTGACCATGTCTGAATAACTAATATATGTATCTTAGGAGGACGTTTATCCATTTTCTACATGAATCGGCTTGGCTTTAGCCGTTTTCTTTGTTCGGCGTGTCGTTAGAAAGTGCGCCACATCCCAAAGCTCCTGCGCGTGCGCCCGCCCAAAATGCCTTAGATGCTTTTAAACACCACACGCTAAGATTTAACGAACGAACATAGCTTCTGTCTCATATTTGAAGCCAGGATGGTACTTTAAATTTAATACAAAAGTCATTTCGTACTAAACACGAACATCTCAGGCTGTAAAAGACCGTTTTACACACAGAAAACAATCGTATGGTGCTATTTACTGAAATTAGACGTTAATATAAGACTCACCATTTTGTCAGATTTTCCTTCAGACCGACGTTAAGGGTTCGGAGAATGAAGGCGGAATTGCGGCGGAAGGGGCCAGGCTAAGGTTATATAGCGTCGCGCGACCGGATGCAGGAGAGGCGGGGCTCTGGCTTCACTCTGGCGGGAGCGACCGTTAGGGCGGGGCTTTGTGTGAACGCCGCATTCAGTCAGAAAAGGATTGAGGATGGAAAGTGCGCAGTAAGTCAAGGGAGGAGGTTCTTAATTTAAATTGTAAAAAAAACAAATAAATAAATAAACTCAATTTACACCCTACCGCAAATATTGGACACTGGGTGAAGTCGTTTTTATGATATATATTTGAATAATATCCACCATAAACCCTTATCACCACACCGGACAAAGACACGTTAGATTTCAGTCAGACTTACAAAGGTTTTAAGAAAAGTTAGACATTTCCACCAATGTTTAAGTCTTTATTTTATGTTATAATTTGAATAAATTTGTGAACAGTTGACTTCAAGAAAGAGTTCACTGAAAAATGCTAATTGCCGTTATTCAACTCTCATATTGTCCCAACCCATTATTTCATCTGTGGAACACTAAAAGTAGATTTTTTTAACTGTATTTGGCAAAGTCCTTTTCAACATAATGCGAATGTATAAAGTAAAGGGAATGTTGACTGTATTGTAAAGTGAATGCGTACTGTCAAACTTAAAAAAGGACTAAACTAAAAATCATAATATAAGTATCATAAATGGAGTTTTCAAACTCAGGGGAGTGCTAAGGAGTCGGTCAATAAGTTTAGAGAAAAACAGTGTTAAAGGGGTCATATGATGTTGCTAAAAAGAACATTATTTTGTGTATTTGGTGTAATGAAATGTGTTTATGTGGTTTAAGGTTCAAAAAACACATTATTTTCCACATACTGTACATTATTGTTTCTCCTCTATGCCCTGCCTTTCTGAAACGCGTCAATTTTTACAAAGCTCATCGGTCTGAAAAAGCGAGGTGTGCTCTGATTGGCCAGCTATCCAGTGCGTTGTGATTGGCCGAATTCCTCAAGCGTGTGACGGAAATGTTACGCCCCTACCATACTGTGATGCCTGCAGCAACCACATGTGACGACCCCGGGCTGGACTCCGCTTCGTCCACGGTGAAAGCCGATCTGGCGATCGACAGCGCGAAGTTGATGTATTCCCTCAGCAACCAGCACGGATCAGCTCTAGGCATGACGAAGCGGATATCGTCCTCTTTTTTTAGGTAGGCGTGGTTAACTCTTAACTTTTATAAAGAATATCTCTTTGGATTTGAGACTTTAGTCTTTACAACTTTACAGATCTTCTTTATGCACCAAGAGCTTGTAACACTCCAAAGGGAAAGGAAAATTTGAAATCGCATCATATGACCCCTTTAACTTAAATAATATGATTAAAAGTGAGTAGGAAAGAACATAATAGAAACTAAATATTTTAGAAATAATATTTTATTATTTTTAGTGTAATTTTCACAGTATAATGGAGTCTTTACACATAAAATATACAGCAGCATTTTAAATTTTAGCATGGGGTCCCTCACACAAGAATCATTGAAGCCTGAAAACCCCTGGTTTATATGACTTGTGCAATACATTCTTTTCTCTCAGCTTAGCTTTTTTTGTTATAACACATTGTAAGCAAGCACAAAGATTATTTTTAAAAACATTTCATGTTTCGTCAACTTTCTCAAAACCTATTGCATTCACATAATAATGTTCATAATAAAATGTTGCTTTCAACAAATAATAGGCTTTCATTTTGAATGGCACCTAAAGGACAGATCATTTCTGAAACTTGATTTCTTCCAAGTTACTTAAAGGGCATTTGCTATAGAAGACCAGAACATATTTAATCAGGTCTGAAAACATGTTACAGTAACACAGAGCCACATTTGCACATGGTAGTCTTCACATTAACGCACCCTCACATATATCAGTTATGAACTTTGCACTTTGACAGATATGTCATGTATCCAGATCTGCTCTGCAGGAAGCCTCAGTAGATGTTCTCTAAACTGGAAGACAATATTGTACAATATGTTCACATCAAGCACATTGACTGCAATGACGCTTTCTCACTCGTTCCCCACACAAGATTTTGTGGCTTAGATAAGACTCTGTTTAGAGAAGGGATCAGAGAAGAATGGAATGCTTGGTAGGCTGGATGGTGTTTTTAAGCGGGGGGCAGTGCATTTGTGTCAGCATATGAGAGGAAAGAAGCTATGAAAGTGTCAAATTAAAATTATTATTATGCTCCCAAATGTGAGAGACCATAAAAAGTCATCTGGTCTTAATGGGAAGGGTCTATATTCCTCCTGCGTCAGACGGGGTGGGGGCAGATTTGTTTAAAGGGGTCATAGGATGCCCATTTTCCACAAGTTGATATGATTCTTTAGGGTCTTAATGAAAAGTCTGTAACATAGTTTGGTTAAAATTTCTCAATAGTAGTGTAAAAAACACCTTTTTTACCCTGTCAAAAACAGCTCTTTTCAGATCAAGCCGTTTTTGTAGCATGGTGAAACAATGGCGGACTGATGACAGCTCACTCAGGGCAGGTCTAATGGTGCGTTCAAATCATGTCAGATAGATCGTATTTATGAGTTGAACGCACATGAATGCCACCACAAAGTCGTTATTACGAGTGGGAAACTCGAAATTTTCTTTAAGCCCAGAGTTTCCGAGTTGGGGGCGTGTCAATGAGAAACATGTCGGAATCGATGGATGCAACGTCTGTAGTTGACAGTAAATTTTTGTTTAAATTGGTAGTTTAGTTGTCCTATAAACTTAAATCGGTCGTGTTCTTGTTACGCAGCTGAAATCCAAGTAAAACAAATGCAGACCCTGTTGTATTTTCTTGTAATTTATTAAAAGAAGGTACACCGCCATCTTGTGCCGACTAAACGGACTTGAATGCACCTGATGTCGTAATTACGACTTGTCAACTCATAATTACGAATGTCCCAGGAGGACTTGAACGCAGCATATGGTAAGACACCAGTCCAGTCTGTGCTGAAATGCTACTGTCAATCAAACTATAGTGGGAGGGGCCTGTCTGACATCAAACAGACAGGCATCTGAGATCAGCTCGATTTGAGAAAGGGGAAAACATTTAACCAGATTTAAAAAAAAAACACTGGGTGGATTTTTATCATTATAGGGTGGTTGTATACACACACTGCCAGCACACATTTCAGTTCAAACAACTTGTAAAAGTGCATGTAGCCTCCTATGACCCCTTTAAAAAAGTTGAATGAAAGGAGCTGTATGTATAATGAACTGTTAAGTGCTTGCCTTGCATCCAAATAGATTATCTTCAATGTAAATTAGAGCATTGTTTGTGGAATTTACCCTTGTGGAACTATTTTCAATCTCACCTCACATTGAAAAAACCTTCTTAGTGTAATTTATGTTAAAATCACTTGTACAACCAAGTTGACTATACGTAAAAATTTAAGGTAGCAAATTAAGTGTTTTTTATGTTGAAATAGGTGGAATTTTTTACAGCTTAAAGTGTTTCTGCTTAAGATTTACTTTAGTTTTGGAAAGACATTTGAGTGTTGTCTAAAAATTATCTTAAAGTGACATTTATATAATTTATGTCAACAACTGATATGTTTCAAATTTCACTAGAATTTGGTATAACATGATTTTAAACTTCAAGTCTGTGCAAGGGCATCTCAAGCATGCTGAAACAGACTTGACTGACATGATATAAAGGCATGCAAATTGTGATAGAATATAAATTCCATTATCCACTTCCACTTCCATGGCACCCTTTCAGTGTGTTCTCCATTTGCATTCTCTTAATCGAATCACAAAGACATTACACAAGCAGTCTTCAGGTGGCACAGTACCGGCCAAATGTTTTATTCTTACCCCAGAGCACTTAAACCAAGAAAACAAAAGCTGTCAGCACTGTGGTTAGCATTGTAACATTTAAACCTTTTTGTCACTATAGTAACTGATGCTAGCTAACTGGTTATCTTATTTGCTGATGAACTGAGTTTTATGACAACCAACTCAGTGAAATAGACAAACAACTAAAAAGTCAATATTAAGTCTTTAAAAGATATCACCTTAACCTTTATGGCCTGTCACATGCACTTGGAGGTTGGCCTGCATGAGTCATGTGGATGATTTATTCATATTCATACACTGCAGACAAAAAAAAAACAGACTGACACCATCAATAACCAATATCAGGAAAATATGTGTTAAAAAAATTAAAAAAGCACAAACTACATATCAAATACAGGTTTCAAATGAGCATAGGGAACAAAACAATATTTTGTTACAGTGAAAATACTGTTTGTGAAAGCTATCTGTGATGTTTCAAGATTATGTAGGGATTCCTTTAATACTCTTCTCCTTCTTCCTCTCCCTCTTCTCCGACGCTGTCTGTTCCCACCTCTTCATAATCCTTCTCCAGGGCAGCCATGTCTTCTCTGGCCTCTGAGAACTCACCCTCCTCCATACCTTCACCCACATACCAATGAACAAAAGCTCTCTTGGCGTACATCAGATCGAATTTGTGATCCAGACGAGCCCAGGCTTCAGCAATAGCTGTGGTGTTGCTCAGCATACATACAGCTCGCTGCACCTTAGCCAGGTCTCCTCCAGGAACCACGGTCGGTGGCTGGTAGTTGATGCCAACCTTGAATCCAGTGGGACACCAGTCCACAAACTGGATGCTACGTTTGGTTTTGATGGTGGCGATGGCAGAGTTGACGTCTTTGGGAACGACATCTCCACGGTACAGCAGACAACAAGCCATGTACTTGCCGTGACGAGGGTCACATTTCACCATCTGATTGGCTGGCTCGAAGCAAGCATTGGTGATTTCTGCGACAGACAGCTGCTCATGGTAGGCTTTCTCTGCAGAGATCACTGGGGCGTAGGTGGCCAGTGGGAAGTGGATACGTGGATAGGGGACCAAGTTGGTTTGGAACTCGGTCAGATCTACATTCAGGGCTCCATCGAAACGCAGGGATGCAGTGATGGAGGAAACGATCTGCCCGATCAGCCTGTTGAGGTTTGTGTAGGTGGGACGCTCAATGTCGAGGTTTCTACGGCAGATATCGTAGATGGCCTCATTGTCTACCATGAAGGCACAGTCGGAGTGCTCGAGAGTGGTGTGGGTGGTAAGAATGGAGTTGTAGGGCTCCACCACTGCAGTGGACACTTGAGGAGCTGGATAAATGGCAAATTCCAGTTTAGACTTTTTCCCGTAGTCAACAGAGAGCCGTTCCATTAGGAGAGAGGTGAACCCAGAGCCGGTGCCACCACCAAAACTGTGGAAGATCAGGAAGCCCTGGAGCCCAGTGCACTGATCAGCCTGCAGGATTACACGAGTTATTTCTACAATCACTGGCCAGGATTTGTCTGTTGTTCTACTGTTGACCCTAATGCAACACTAAAGATAAAGCCAACTTTTGACCCCAAGATTGTCTTACCAGTTTGCGAGTCCTGTCCAGCACCAGGTCAATGATCTCCTTGCCAATGGTGTAGTGTCCACGAGCGTAATTGTTGGCAGCATCTTCTTTACCTGTGATCAGTTGCTCAGGGTGGAACAGCTGGCGGTAGGTACCTGTGCGCACCTCGTCTGGAAAATCAGTCCATGTACTTTACTTTATTCATTATATTATTGTATTTTAGATAAGATAATTTGGTCATTTGCATCATATATTTTCACCAGATTAATCTTGATACGATGCACAACAAGTACAATTTAATAATTCGAGAAAAAAGCTAAGACACTTTACAGTCTTCTTCACTGTAGAATTGAATTATACAAAGAGAATCAGTTTCATTACCAATGACAGTGGGCTCCAGATCGACAAAGACTGCTCTTGGAACATGTTTTCCAGCTCCAGTCTCACTGAAGAAGGTGTTAAAGGAGTCGTCGCCCCCACCAATCGTTTTATCACTTGGCATCTGACCATCTGGCTGGATCCCATGCTCCAGGCAATACAACTCCCAGCATGCATTGCCCATCTGCACACCTGCCTGGCCGACATGGACTGAGATGCACTCACGCTAGGGTGCAATGAGAGACATATTTAAAATGGTAGCAGTCAATTTAAATTTCTCTTGGGAAAAAGTAGCTTTCGCTTTTAATTTTCATAAACACTAAAACTGACAACCATTATCAAGACAATCAAAATCTATAAAATAAAACAAACTAATTATTGACAAACGTATTCATGAAGACTAAGACTGTTCGTTAAAAGTCAAGTAATTGTTAAGTATTATAAATAATGCATCAGACAAATAAATAATTTAAAACATCCTACCATTGTAGAACTTTCCTCTGGCCGACAACGTAAAGAGTTCAGTTGAGAAGTGTTGTGTATGTTCTCTGTGACGATATCATCACTATATAAAGAGCAAGCTGATGCCATGGTAACATGGTTTGTTGTTGGCAACTTAAAGGGATAAGTACAATTATGTGAATGTCAATCATAGATGACCGCAGTGCACTGAACAAACAGGCCTAGTCACATCCCAGTGCTTCTTGTTTCCTGAAAAAGGCACACTCTAACAGGTCAACATTCGTCCATTCACCCACAGCCATTAATATTCAACCCTGCACTGGTGGATCACATCTTTGGTGGGGTTTGTATCACCAATGGAAGAACAATCTAAAAACTTAGGAATGTGAACTTAATCTTTGTTCCAACAACGTTGAACCTTTGACACACTGTGGCACAATCACTATTGCTCATACTCAAGGTTAGGGATTTGATCGAACTCTTTAAAGGCCTGTTCACACCAAAAATGAAAACTGTAATGACAACTATATGAGCATTCATACCAACAGACAATAATGTTGTGTCTTATCTAAATGCTTAAAAGTCCATCTTGATTGGCTTTCAGTGTTGTCCCTTAACTGGAAAAATCGCTCTTATAGTTGTAATGTGGACTTTATTTTCTTAAAATTACAGACATTTTTAAAGCATTGTGGTTATATTTGTATATTTAAAATATGGCATGTAAACTGGTATGTGGTACGGGCATGAATGTCATGCATCTTGTTGAGGAGAGGTTAATATTATTATATTAATCAGACTTATGGTTTTCATTCTCTAAAATTTGTAGTTTTTTTTTGTCTTCATGTGTTTTAGCAGTTTGTATGTTTATGAAGTAACAGCCAAATCTACTTTTCTAAAAGCTCTTTCTCTTTGTTTCTGTCTCTACATAAGCAGTGCAAACTGACCCTGGCACTCACCTGAAGCGCTTATTATGTCATATCTGAACCCTAATTAAATCTGTAAACTATTGTTAACCGGCTGGGTGGCCATGGAGCCCAGGAACAAACATTTCTCATCTGTTCCCAGACTGTTCCCATGACAATAAATGCACATGAAACATATAATCAAGTCAGATTGGGGAAGCTGGAGCTTTGTTTAAATTGTTAGTAGCTGTTATAACCTGTGTTATATATTCTGAAACTCACAGGCTTACATTTCTGTTGGGCAAGGAATAAGTTATCAAAGTGCTGTCAGTTTAGTGTTGTTTTGGTTGGTAATATCACATTAGAAGTATTAAGAAACAAGTGAGGCTTAGCTTTAAGGCTCTTTAAATGGATCCCATTACAAAAGTGTGTTTATGAAATGAACGAGAGGACGCTATATATATATATATATATATATATATATATATATATATGTTCAGTATGTTTTTGACAATATATACATACATATATATATATATATATATATATATAAGTTCAGTATGATTTTAATTTTAATATGCTTCTTGACAGGGTACTTCTTACAGAGAACTGCATGTTAAGACAGAACATCCTAAGCTACCAAAATGCTGCAGGACATTTTCCCTTTCTGATGAAATGTATATATAGTTCATGAGATACAGCTCAGTTTTTCCACAGGCTAGTTTTAAATATCAGAACATTTGGAGTCACATTCACACGTTGTTTTGTTAGAAGGAACCGTGAAAAGACTAGACCTCTTGCAGCTGTCTGTTTGTTCAAATGCCTGATAAATATTTTAATATTCAAAACTGATTCGAAGAGCTTACCAGGTAAGAAAATTACAGCTGAGCTCTGATATGTAAACAGGTCAGAGAGAGAGATATTATATAAACTCTAGATTTACACAGTACTGACCATGTCAGAGTCGACAATACATTAAGTAACAGTTCACAAATTAGCAGCTAGTTTACCCTACTTGGGAGATTCTACGCTGTGTTGGCAAAAGTAGAATCCCTGTATATTTGATATCAGATTATATCATTAGGCATTAAAACAGAGGGCCGATTTAGTTGCAGCACTTTTGCATTTCAACCAATCCACTTTATCCAGGTGCTAAATGTGCTGAAATACTGAATATAAGTCATTTAACAATGCAGTGGCATTTCTTACCTGATGTAATTAACATTTTAGAAAACTGAATTTGAAAAAGATTAAATGTTAGTGTGCATATTTCTATCGAGCATGGCAGCGGTATTATAACCAGGCATATATCCAGATTTTAAATAACAGATTCGGCCTGGATCACAGTGGTGGAGAAATACTGTACAATCTCAGCTGCTCAACCTGCTCAATTCATTCAGTGTTTCCACCTTAATGTTGCCTGTCATCACAGTATTAGTGCATCACAGACTACATTTTCCCAGATCAATATGAAAATTCAAATCTGTATTTTTGACATGATTTTCTATTTTATTAAGAGATTTGTCTGATCCTCTCCAGTTCTTTAAAGAATAAATCCTTTGTGCACCTGTCTAAAAGGAACTGTAAAACATTCATGCAACATGACAAATGATTAAACCTCTTCGATTTTAAAATACATTGCAAAAAGTGTTTCAAGCAAACTGTTGTTCATGATACAGTACAACACAGTGGTTTGTCCCCTCGCATACTTTTCATAATCTTTGGTGGCATATACCTGAAGATCTCAATAACAGTACAAAGAAAAACATAAGTATAAAGTTTTTGATCATAAGAGTATTGAGATGAGCCCCTCACATGCAATGCTAGAAACCCCATCTAGGGAACATGTTAAAATATAATTGTAATAAGGGGTTGTACAGGAGAATCTAGAGATAATAAAACCAGCAAAATTTCCTGATTTTAAAGTCAACATGAAATGGAGTTTGCACTTCCCACTTTATTCCCTAAATATGCTGTATTTCTGAATAAAACAGGATGGGACTGACTGTACAGTGGGACTTCAGGACTTGATTGGTTTGAGACATCAGCCGGCTATGTAGGTAGACAACCTTTCTGACATAGGCAACTTTTACTAACTCTGCCCACAAGATATTTGATCTTATTACTTCTATTTACACTTCATGTGAAGAGCATCTATCATTCGCTGCACTTGTAAACAAGATGCTATTTGTTTCTATTTATACTTGGTGGAAACAGTCTCTAACCGATTTTACACATTTTTTTATTTTACTGTATGTGGAACAATCACTGAAGAATTGTGAACAGTAAGCATGTTAAGAATTTAGTATTTCATGTTGACTTTAAGCAAAAGAGTAAAAGATTTCATGCATGTCATATTCAGGGCAAAAAATCTGATGCTTTGTGTACTGAAGAAACTTCCCAGATTAGCCCAGTGACAAACACCAATCAAATCGGCCCCAGTCTTCATCCCTATTAGCGATTTTTTAATTGTGGTGTCATGGCCACGTTCACACTGTAAAGTTTCAGGAGTGACAACCGCATTTAAATACAAGTGTGAATCCCCTAAATGATCATTTTGTGCGTGGAGCAGAACTCGGTCCTGAAATTGTGATGATTGACATGGTAATCATAGCAACATTCTGGCATCTTGCTCGTTTAGTATATAGTATTTTTGACTGAAGTAATATTACAGTGACCAAATACTGGTTATGTTCAGCAATTTTAACCATATCACTGCCAACAGAGGTGTTGTGTTTTTAGTTTCAAATATGTGACCCTGGACCACAAAACCAGTCATAAGGGTCAATTTTTTGAAATTGAGATTTATACATCATCTGAAAGCTGAATAAATAAGCTTTCCATTGATGTATGGTTTGTTAGGATATGACAATATTTGGCAAAATACAAAATCTGGAATCTGAGGGTGCAAAAAAATCAAAATACTGAGAAAATCGCCTTTAAAGTTGTCCAAATGAAGTCCTTAGCAATGCATATTAGTAATCAAAAATTAAGTTTTGATATATTTATGGTAGGAAATTTACAAAATATCGTCATGGAACATGATCTTTACTTAACATCCTAATGATTTTTGGCATAAAAGAAAAATCTATAATTTTGACCCATACAATGTATTTTTGGCTATTGCTACAAATATACCCCAGCGACTTAAGACTGGTTTTGTGCTCCAGGGTCACCTATATGTGCAGTGTTGAATGGTCAGTGTCAAAAGTCTTGCAGTGTTGCCATGTCCCCTTATTATAAGCATATTTGGGCTCATCGTTTCGCTCATAAAGCGATCCAGTTTATGGAGTTGTTAAAGTAGGCAGGTGCAGGTCGCAATATTTTAGTCTTATTCCAATATAAATCATATAAATTTATTTAGGTTTAGTTTTTGTTTGTTTGCTGTTGTATTCTAGCAAGACTTGGCAACACAAATGAGTCAAGGGTCGTATCTCTTTCCCTGTGATGTGCTTGCACCTTGCACAAAGAAGAGTGACACATCTCTGATATGCATTTAAATTTGTCATTAGCAACTAGTTGTTTACTTCGGTTGCAAACACGTTGCAAAAAAGTTTTGTAAATGCAGTTGTCACTTCCATAAATTACTAAACTGTGCGTGTACAGATCAGGATTAAGCACTAAAAGGTGAATTGACAAGCTAGTTTGGCTGCAAGGGTGTATGTGGCCCATATTACTTTATGAAGTTTAGGGTAAAGCATGCTGCTGCAAATATTATCTAATGACTCTTATCGTTTATTCTTACTCCAATTCTACAAGTGACCACAGTATGTAGAATAGAGCTTTTTTTTGTGCTTGAGAAGCCCTTATTTTTGAAGATGTTTTATAAAAAATGTTATCACAGTAAAGTGGTGAGAAAACAACGGATAAGAACAGGTGATTCTGAGAGGGCTGTTCCGCTCACAGTTTCTGGGTGAAGTTTTCAGGGAAGACTCCTTTAGCTAGGAGGTTTTTATTCTGAAGCCAGTGTGACTCTTTTACACCCATTAACCAGCCATCATCCTGCGCACACAAACAAAAACACAATGAGTCATTGTCCGATTGTATGCATGTATAAACATGGGTGCCATGACTCACCTGTTCATCTGGGTTGGCAAAGGCAAGCACAAGCACAATGTCACCAGCCTTCAGATCAAGCTCATCGCTGTCTGTTGCTCCGTAGTCATGTATTGCTTTCACCTACCAAAATCATGTTAGTAAATTCGATTTATACACATACCATTATTCAAAAATTTGGGCTTA